TTGACAGAATTACCAGAAGGACTGGTGGGACTGTAGACATACTTGTATTTATTAGATGGCTGTAAAATCTGCCTAAAGTACTTGAGAACCTGGGGGAAAATAGGAGCATTTATACCTTGCTTCACACAAACACAGGCAGACTCACTGGTGATACAAGAGAGGTCTCTCTGTCTTCGGATCATCTTCACATTGGTGATATTTACTCCAGACCTGGAATGCTGTCTGGCCACCCCTGACTAAGAGCACGAGACCTGTGGCTGCTTGGTGATCACTCATCACTCATTTAGCCACTCTTCACCCACACAGTGTGTACTGAGACAAGCTTGTACTCTTCCAGCTGCTTAATCAAAATTCTTTGCCCTCCCAAGTCCCCTTTTGCCATAAAAAAAGGCTCCCTTGCTTCAACTGCTCCTATCAACACAAAGTGTAATCTCATCAAAAAGGTGTCACATCAGCTTTACAATATCTGTCTTCCACAAGTCTCGCAGTTATTATTGCCCTTATTTCACTCCTCATAATTGAGTCCTACATCAGCCGTGCCATTATTTTGCCTAAGATGCATGTCAGTCTGACAGGCCTGTAATTACCACTGTACCCTCTTTCACCCTTTCAAAATATTGGCTCAACAATAGATTTCCTCTCATCTTCTGGATTTTTCCAGTGCCAGTCTTGTTGAAAAGCAAAGGCAGCGATCCTCTGGGACACTTTTTCTGTAACATTTGGACATATTATAAAGAAATGCTGATTTTAAGAGGTCCATTTTCATCCTCATTAACTTTTGAGACAAGGTTATTTCAGCATCATCATATGTCTATCACCCTGTTCCTTTTCCACAGAGAGCCAAGAGGAGCATTTGGGATCAGCACTAACTTTGAACTTTACTCATTAAGCTGTAGCAAGCTCCACTTGGGAAAGGTTGGACAATAAGGGAGCAATGGATGAGATGCCTGCTTGGGGAGTAAAAAGAGTTGCAAGAAGAGAATATCAGTCTTCTTGAACACAGAAAAAGCAAAGTTGTTTGCTTCCCAGAGTGAAGACTGCTAAGGAACTCAAGGGATGTGACGAGACACTCAGTTTGGCAGATTAAGGAGAAAAGGATCAAGGCACAAATGAAAACCTGTTCCAAAATGAAACCTTGAAAATCACAGATCTTTTCTTAAGTAATTTTTCCCCCCTTCATTTCCAATTATTTACCACTCTACAACTCCCCTGCTACTGCTGACCTCTCCCTACTTCTGCTTAATCAACAATTTCTCTGGCAGCACTTTCCTGTGCCTCCTAAATCCACTCAAAGGAGATGACTGAACACACTTGAGCTGGGAAACTCGGTATCTTAGCAAAAAAACACCTGGAGAGGTTAACACAGAATTCAGAAAAGTAATTTGTTAGCCAAGTAACAGAAATATTTGTTGACTACCTCTGTTTTTCCTGCATTATTACATACATCTCTGCCTTTTCCATATAGTAACAAGCCAGCAGCAGCATTATTGCTTTATTTTTCCACTTAAAAAACTAATCAAAGTCCTTAATTAAATGACAATTTCTTCATGTATCCTTGTGCTTCCTTTACAAACATCTTCGATTCCTAACTTCCCATTTATATTCATTTATTCTTTGTGATCAACCTTTCTTTTTCCCATTTGTTTCATTATATATTACAGCTGCTTTCTCTTCCCTGTAAGCCAGGCTAGTTTTCAGCTGCTGAAAAATTTTCATTAAAAAATGCCAATGAACTGACCCTGAAACATTTCACTCCAGACATCCCTGGTTTGATAAAACTTTTGTCAAAACCAGCAGAGGATTGAGGAAATAAACTCAGATGGGATTCCTTGGGACTGCCACAGGGCCATGCACTCACACTGTGTTCCTAGCTCTGGGGAAGATCCAACAGTAAAACAAATCAAAACAATAAGCAAGACCAAAAACCCACACACACAACAGGCAAACAAAACTCAAACCATACCACATTTTAAATTCTCAGGGCTTAAAAACAAAGGAATGCATTTCTCAAACACTTTCAAAATAGAGACAGCTGACTACTGAAAAAATACAAAAATCACAAACCAGATTCTAGGGCTCAGTATATGGTTGTCTATATTACTAGAGCTTTATTAGTCACCCACAGCTCCCTCAATTGCAACATTCCGTATTTTTTAATTTGTTCAGCTAACTCCTGGAAGGTCTGGGGAAGCGATGGCTGTCTCTCTGGCTGAGGGTGACTGACAGCTGCTGTGCAGGCACACGTGTAATGAGTGTCACAGATAACACAGGGGCCCGCTCAGACAGTGCCACTGGGAGAGACAGCTTGTCTTCTGGCAGTTTGTAAATAGCAATCCGCTGGGAGTCACAGGGATTGGAGTTACAAGTCACTTCGCTCCTGCCTGCTCTCTGGGGGAGTCGGGAGAATAAACAAGCGCTTTTCATCATGGCACTTCCCATCCAGGGGAAGACAGTGTCTGTTCAGAGCAGAGCCTTTCAAGGGACAAGCTGTATTTTGCTTTATCAACACCCCAGTCTTGTAGTTGAGACTGCAGTTGTAGCCAAATAGTCACCACAGAGCTGGATTTCCACAAGATGGGTTTTTCTGCCACGTTACTGTTCTCTGCTCTTTTAAACACAGCACACACGCCATGCACAAACGGTGGGTGGGACTCTAAAAGTAAAAGTCCTTTAGAGATGTATTACCATGAGCATGACTTATTACTGCCTATTTTACCTAGTTATGCCTGGGCCCAAGAACAGGCAGCTTAACAAGAATTCTCTCACACATCAATGCAGGCAGCATGTTTACAAGATAAACTTTTCCTATTCACAATAATAAGCATTTCCCCATTTCCCCCTGGTCGCAGACATCTTTTCATTAAAAATCCTTTCTTAGGATTTTTCTTCCTCCCGAGAAGCTGGGAGGCCTCAGGAACAAAATGCAAACATTGATTATCTGCTGCTGTGGAAGGCAACAGGTGCATCTGTGATTGGCCCATGTTGGATGTTTGTAATTAATGGCCAGTCACAGCCCAGTTAGCTTGGACTCTCTGTCTTTATTATTCATTCCTTTCTGTTCTTAGCTTATCCAGCCTTCTGGGATGAAACTTTTTCTTCTATTCTTTTTAGTATAGTTTTAATGTAATATATATCATAAAATAATAAATCAAGCCTTCTGAGCATGGAGTCAACATTCTCGTCTCTTCCCTTACCTTAAAACCCCTGTGAACACTGTCACATCCCCTTCATTTTTTTCCCCTGCTTTGTTTCTCTTACTGCCCCTATCATGAGAAGAGCAAAGCAAGGATGAGCAGCAATATCTGGAGTTTTTTTACCCAGCAAAACACAGACACTAGGACAGCTTTGGAATGCATACACAGTCGCTGTCTTTTGGCCTGGATGTCCCTAAGACAGCTGACAGGCAGGACAGAGCTGTAGTCTATAAAGATGTACCCAGGAATTGTCACTGAACAGGCACTTTCAGAGAATTCCCTGCATCCTGAGGTTGTGTGAGAGGCCAAAGCCAGCAGGTGGCACTCGGAAACATGCACCAGAGCCTGGATGAGAGCAGGATTTTTGGCACGACACAACTACTATTTCTCAGCAGTACCTTGTCTACATAACCAGACACACACACAAACAAACGTGGAAAATAAAATTGGTCTGCAGGGAGTCTGATTTTTAATCCAATATCATAGAAACATCTATGAACTCTTAGTCCCAAGTGAATAAATGTGTCAATGGGATCTCTGAAGTCACACTCACACAACCCAACCAGGAAAATTCATGTACTCTTGTTCCATTTCCTTCTTCTCTTTATGCCAGTGCCATTTGCCTGCACAAAGAGCAATCCCATGCTTGATTACATTTCTTCAGTCTCAAGAGAGGGAAGAAATTTTATCAGGCTTCTGTAACAGGTAAGGGATTGGATTCCTTTTTTCCACTGCCTTCAGTGCTCAGCAGTGAAATATCTGAACACCTGCAGGCAATTGTACCTTTTCACTGAAGATGATGATTCGGTTTTTTTCCAACATTTTTGCTGTGTGCCCCTGCAGCTTCTTTCAACACATAGCCATTTGCTCAAATTAGCAGGTGTCCAAGCCCAAAACTAAAGCTTGTTTAAAAGTTTGTCTGTGTTGGCAGGAATTTATCACTGTTTTATTAATGATTAAACCAAGATTGCTTTGGTTTTGTGATAAGGCATCACCAGCCTTGTCTGTCATTGAATAACAAGAAGTCAGTGCTGCCTGTCATTCCTAGAAAGACACTGAATCCAAGGCTGTCACTTTAAGCACAGCTCTCATTATTTATTCTCTTTATTCTACACAGCCTGTTATCAAAATAGACTTCCTTTCATATTTCGCTTTCTTTTTTTTTCAAATTTTAAAACTCGACACAGGTTGGGTTTTTTTCTCCCATTATTAAACTTTCTGCAGGGATAAAAATAAAAAGCAAACGTAAAAAAATTTGCAAGGTTGCATCATAGTGCAAAAATATTGTTCCTAAACTTTTATGATTTCTAAGGCTGCGTCCTACAATTTATAGAGGATTTAATATGTGAGTCTTTAAGAACAAAGCCCATACTTTTTCTGAAAGTCTGGCTGTAAGACTGATTCAAGCAGACTCTCTAAAGTAGCAAGACAACCAAGCCAACCAGAAAAGTCATAACAGAAAAAATTAAAAAAAATATTTACACCTCTTTTATCCTTTTGTTTTTCTTTTTTAAATGTGAGCCTTATTGTTCATCCAGTACCAGGGCAGAATCAGTACAAAAAGCCCAAAATTATCTTATTCCTTCCCACCACTGAGAAATCCAATGAAACAAATCTCTTCATTCAGATTTATACAGTAAATAGCTTGTGAGATAAAACTGTAAGTTCACAAGTACTTAAAGACATAATAGTTTATGCAGTGCTTCATGACCTCTCATACTCCCAACCACAATGTTGCTGAATGTGTCTCCTGATAACAGGACAAAATGCTCCATGCTCAGATTTAATTTTTAAAGATGTACAAACCTGTATTTTCTTCCTTCTAAATGACCAGACAGGATATTTCAGAGATGTTTCTTCTTTTCCTGCCAACAAGAGGGATAAATAATGTGAATATTGTTAAATTTACTCTGTCTCTTGTTTTTTACTCAAACAATTAGAGTGTGTGTTTATCCAGAGAAGCCGAGGGGATTATTTTCTCCCTTTTATTTTTTTTTTTTAATTTTTATTATTAACTCCAGTTCAGCACTCAAATGAATAAGCAAATAAATCTAATTCTAGTTAAGGAATTTGTTAGCTCACCTTACAAAGTGCAGCCTATTTTTGGGTGAGCCAGACCCAAATTTTACAGACCTGATTAAATTAGTCTCAAAAGTGAAGAGATCATTTTCTTCACCATTGAGTCAGAGATCTGGCACAACAGTTGGATTTCAAAGGCAATACTCAAAAATTGTCAGCTTGCAAGGAATTGTCACATACTTCAGACTTCATGTTTTGCAAGTCTCATCTTAAAAAAAAATATTACTGCCCCAATTACTCCACTGCTCTTGTCTCACATAAAATTTTAGTTTAAAGATGAAACAAATAAGCTTTTGAAATATTTATTTTTATTGTAAAAGAGAACAAAACTACCTTTGTGTTTCCTCTTTCTCATATTTTTAAGGTGACATATTCTTTCATGCAGATATTATTCATGTTACCGTTAGATTACATACTTTGCTTATAGCTATGAATTAAATATTAAGTAAAAGTGAACTGCATTTAAAACATTAATCAGAAATTACATACCTGCTGTACAGTGGATGGCAGGAAGGACTGCACGTTGATCTATTTTAATTAATTCCAGCTGACTTAATTACACAACTTGATGGTCTTTTCCTTCTTTTTTTTTGCAAGTGGATGATAAACTTCAAAAATTCTGCCTGTCTCCTAAGACTGAAAAAAACCCCACCACTATACATTAGGGAATGCAGAATGGCACACTATTAGTGATTTACAGAGAACATATTGTAGCTAGTAAGGAATTTTTCCATTGGTGATCAGGCCATTTCTGCGCAAAAAAAACCCACCGACTCTCAGAATCATTTTATTGTCCTTTTCTGTGTTCCTGCATTTAAAGCAAATTCAAATTTCAAAAATCTTGATATTTGACACCCTTTAAAACACAAACTCTATTAATATACCTATCTACATTAAACATACTTGCACATGAAAATAAAACTCTTTGCATGCATCCATTCTTGTTCCTAACAACTGATAGGAATCCATCCTGCTCCTAACTGTCCTGCAGAGTTAAGTGTCCAGAATCCATCCGTGCATCCACAAAACCAGATTAATTAAGGCACATGGATGATTTCAAACCTTGCTAAGCAGTAAGTTTTCAGTGATAGCAGCTGAAAGTCCGGCTTCCTCATTTTTAAAATAACTGTCTTGAATAGAGAAGTAGAAAACCAACATAATCTCAATATTAGCATAGTATCTTTAACTAGAAGGTTGGGATCCATAATGAGGGAGAATTTTGTTTTTCCTCCAGTTGGAAATAGTTGCAAGTGCTTATAAAACCCTAAATGGAAAGCATTTTTTAGAGTTATAGAAGGTTTTAGCCAATTTGTCTTTCTTAAGTTGTATTTTTGGAGTTTCTTTAGCAGAAAGTTTTACAAGCCTTAGACAGAGTCAGTAAATGACATGGGTGTCAGAATATATCTGCACAGGCTCCAGCTGTACAGAATATGTTGACATTTGGAAAAATATTGTTTCTTTTAATCAGATTTTTATCAAAGGAGTGGAGTCCTTCATTCTGAGATGAGTGACTATAATTAGATGGTTCTCCAACCAAATCCTCCTACTCTCCCAGCTTTTGATACAACAGTAAGTTATCTACTCATAGAATAAGCCCTGCACCGAGCTAATGAGATGCACAATAAATGCATCATTAATTTATGCTAGATGCTGTTCTGCTCCTTTCATATCTATTGTCATTATCCTCCCACAGCACTCAAGCTAATTCTAATTGATGGTTTCCATCAGCAAATTAAAAAACAATATACTCCAGACTGTAGTGATGAAAAATATAGAGAGTAAAACAATATGTTCTAAAAGAACACTACACTTTGTTATCTTTATGGTGCAGAATGAAAGACAAATTAGCTAAAGAATGCTGTGCAAGTCTTTTTATTGCTTTTATGATAATAAGAAGATACTCTTTATTTGTTTTGATTGGATGGTACAAATGCATTGTCCTGTTACAAATTATTGATATGGTTGAAAGTCAGCACTGCGTGATTTAATGTGTACAGGTGTTTCCTTCTGATAGTTTACATTTACAATTTAAATTGCATTTGGAAAGCTTAAATGACTAATCCTCAACTTGTAGGCATACTCCTCTATGGAAAATTAAAATCCAGTGTCAAACACTTTTTTTTATTTTTTTTTTTGTTAAGTACACTATTGGTAAAGAATTTTTTACTTGTATTGTGGAGAGAGAATTACAAAGTTTTGGGGGAAGCTGAGGCAGAGCCAGCCCAAGGGCCGTGCTGAGGCTGTAAGAGCATCTATATAAAAAGGATAGATGTAAAGTATAGACACCTCTTCACAGAAAACTAAAAATTCAGAGAAGATTTAGAAAATCTTTCACATGAGCCACTCCACCATCCCCATCCCTCTGAAACTGGACTACAGCAGCAGCTCAAACGCCTTTTAAACATAACTTTTCACAGCTTTTCAGAGGCTTTCCTCAAACAACTGTCCTTCCTTTCTTTGACCTGGTCACATCTCCTCCTAAACTCCATGCCAGGGAGCCTGGACCTCTGGCACTGCCCAGCTCTGAACTCAGCACCTTGTGGTACATTTGACATCTCCAGCTCATCTCAAGCTGTAACATTTCTGTACAGAGCTTTCATGGCTAATGTTAAAAAACCAACATGGAGCCCAAGCAACCATCACTGTTTTCAACTGGTTGACAAAAAGATGAACTGCGCTGATGTATGGGTTATGGCTTCACGTCACTGTCATAATTTCTGGAAAAAATCCCTTCACCAGGATTTCTTCTCCTGGGAAGCTGAGAAGCCTCAGAGAAAAATAACAATAATTATCTCATTTGCTTCTCCTGTGTTTTGCTGCTTTGGAATGTGGTTGGAGATTGTTTATCCAACATTTGAATTGTTTTGTCTTAATGATCAATCATCCAGCTGTGTCAGGACTCTGGAAGGAGTCACAAGTTTTTTGTTAATATCTTGTTAATCCTTCTGTCTGTATCCTTTCTCTATTCTTTAGTATAGTTTTAGTGTAGCATTCTTTAATATAATATAATACCATAAAATAATAAATGAGCCTTCTCAGAACATGGAGTCGGATCCATCATTTCCTTTCTGCCACAGGAAGTTATTGCCTCCTACAAGCCATACCCTTACAAGACAATTTTAATGTTCTTCCTCCTTTTCTCTCATGCCATGTGAGTAATAACCAGTCCTCTTACTTAGGTTTCCATTCCACATCTACATTTGTGCAAATTCCACTTCCTTGGGCACGCATCAAAGATCAACAACGTAGTTTTATAATTTTTTTCTAACGTATTCCAAAAATAACCAATGTAAATATGGTTTCACAGTTGATATTTGACATATATTTAATATATATTTCTCTGATATTTTCATAAAATGCTGTTCATCTGCTACCATAATTAACACCGCCTCTGACCAACCAGAGAAGTTCTACTGACACATGAACTCATACAACTCCAGCAGATTTAACTACACAACACCAGCAGAATGCCACTCAGAGGAAAAATGCCGTGTCTCAAAAAGTAGATCACAAACTGATGAGGAGCCCACAGCTCCCAACACACACTTGAAGCAGCCACAGGCCTTGGTTCTTCTGTCAAAATTTATCAAAGGAATGAAGCTGCAAAGGAGAAGAGCTCTCTGAGGGCTTGCAGAGGCAGCAGGTGGTCATTCCAGGTTACTGCTGCTAAAAGGAAGCATTGCCCAAGTGCATTCACTTTTAGCACCCAATTAATATTTTAAAGAGATTCTTGAGAGCTTATTATCATTTTATTTTTTTTTTCACTTTTATTGTTTGAATGCCCTCTGAGAACCTTGAATATCCAATGTATTTTCCTATTAGTTTTGTCCTTTTCTATTTGACACACTTGTTTACCTGAGTTCCTTAGCAAGCCTCAAATTAACATCTTTTTCTTTCTCCTTCCCTTCCTTATCAGGAAAATCCATCTTGCTGGAAGATATAATATCTTACAGCACACAGCACAGAACATCACAAAACCCAAAAAACTTCATCCTGACTTCCCAGAGCAAGACAAGGGGTTGAAGAATCACATCAAAATATTGACAGCAGCAATGAAACAGCAGCTAGGCAGTATTTGAGAAGGGAATAAATACTGGTTTCTGAGAGCTTGGGTTAAAACACACCTGGTTTCAGACAGCTTGGTATTTTAAAACATCCCAGGTTGGATGCTTGTTGAGAGGCTCTGCAGGCACCTACTGTGGCAAATATGTCACGTGTCCCATTCTAGCATTAAAATTTAGATTGTTTACTTAAAACATCACAGTCAGTAGAGGCAACCTTGGACTCTAACTACACAATTAAGGTAGAGATACCAAATTCAGAGCTACAGCCCTGAAATACCTAACTCAGCACCTGCGGAACCTGAGGGCCCCTAAAGCCATAGCATGTGACATGCAGGATTTCCAAGCTATATTCTTTTACAAGTTTCTCCTCTTTCCTAACTTGACAGAAGCTTTCCATGCCCTCAGAACTGCCTCACTTAAAAGGAATTGACACTTCTAAGGCAAACCAGCAGGCAAGCAGTCCCACCTTTGCCTACAAGGGGGCAAAATCCAATAGTCAATTCATAGGTGAGAGGGTCTGCAGGTAGCTGCTTGTCATGTGGTAAACTTCCACAACAGTCAGTGAAAAAAGAATTCAAAGCAAAGAGGCTCTGAATTGTAATCAGGACAACACTGTCTCTGCTGTCTCTTCTGCTACAGAAGTTTAGCTGGGTGATTTTCCTGGCTAAATTAAATGTTTACAGCAAAGAGCTAATGTCAAATGCTGCAAACTGGTGTCCTTTGTCCTAAAATGCAAAGAGAGGGTGAAAATAGCATTCATCAGCCTTTCATTCAATTCAGGTGTTGTTCTCTGGCCTGATTGCTGAATGTAGATTGCGCAAATACTGCTGCATGCAGAGAGTGGAGGCCAGCAGTCCTTCTGCAGCATGCCTGAGCATGGTGCAAGCCATCATATCACTTGTGCTGGCTCTTTTCCTGTGACTATTGCAGCCTTTTCTACATGGTGGATCAGCTTCAAGGGCAAAGTTAGGATGGCTGCTGAGATTGCTGACCCAGCCAGATTACTTCATGTTTCACATCACTCTCCTCGTGCTAAAGAAAATACATATTTTCAGCTCTATGACCATCACTCCTGTCCAGCTCTGCTTCAGGAATAAACAGGACAAATGCTCACAGCTTAGAAAAGCCAGTTAGAAACACTTGCCATGAGGAAATAGATCTTTAGAGTGGAGGTGGTGGAAATGGAGATGCCCACTAAGAGCTCTGAGTAGCATGGTAAAGGGTAAGAGGTAAGATTTCAGGCACAGGATTTATTTGCTATTTTTTACTTACTAGTTAAGGCAGTTCGCCATTCTCATTGCATCATTTCAAATGACTTTTAATCAATTAACTCTCCACACACACAATGTGCAGCACTACAGATTGCTTACCCAGGGGTCTGTTTGCAGCACACATCTTGCAGATATTTCTATTCCTTATCAGAATTACCCACAGTGGAAGCAAGCAATCATGATGCCAATAGCTCATGACTCTAAGAGAGGTGTAAGGGTGAGAAAGCAAGTTTGGACAAAAAATGAACGTGAGAAAGGGGGCTATTAAAAATTACTTTGTGCCTCAAAGCAGATATTTTCT